CTGTCATTACCCACAAGAATTTTCTAAGCAGAAAAGATGACTTTGAAAAGCATCCATGCACCCATAAGTGAACTTCAGTAACTGAGGCGCATGAAGCAACTGCTGAAACAAGCAAAGGCACTACCATATTCCAAGTCCTGGGAAAGCTGTGACAATCATGCAGCTGTACTCATACAAACTCAGCAAACTCATCTAAGATGACGACTCTTCAACCATTCATATATTTATCCCTGTGGCAAGATAACTGTGTTCTTCATAAACTTAAATCCTGACAATCCTATTCTTGGTTCGTCACAGTCAAGGCAAAGATGACATTTTCCTGCCATAAGAGCAAGACCAGAGTTGGGCAGCACCTGTTTCTAAGCAGGAACTCTCTAAGCTCATGACAGAAGCCCTCCACTGGAACCACTGGTAGTAAAGTCATATATATCTGAACTTCACTCCTTTCCCAGGAAATTTTGTCCTGTATATTTAACCTTTTCCTGCATGTCATTAATTTCACCTCTGTTCCTTTATGATTCTGTAGTCAAAAGTAAAGATGTAAGAAAATACACCTAACTCCCCAATAACATTACTCTTAATAAAACACAGGCTTTCAGAATTACTTTTTCAATTAAAGCATGTATTTTATTTGAATGCTTACACTGAACTAGTTTTATTTATAGTAGAAATCTGAAACAACATGTAAGAATTTTAGATGAAGTTTATGAGAGCCCTCTTTGGGGTTTTTAATTCTATGGTAGTTCCCAAATTCTTAAAAGCTGCAAAGTGAAAGACGAGATCAAGCCACATTTTCCTGTTTTTCCACAACAGTATCTCCCCCATCTGTAAATGCATGAAGAGCACTTATCTACTTTTACTTTTCTGTATTAGTAATTGCACACATCTGAGAGCTCAGAAAGAGTAACTATCTATTAAGTTCTCATGTACTCTCTGTCACTTAATTATTGCATAATTACACAAAAGAGAAGCTATGAAATTAATCCAGAACAATTTTTTTGCCCCCCTTAGAAAGAGACATAAACCATTTTTAAAGGCACAACAGGTTAAGAATACATATATGATATATACTAACAAGATACATATGAAGAGGTATGTAACAACTTGTCAAATCATAGAAAGAATTAGTTTTTGCTGTGCATCTGACATCTTTCCCTTACTTAAAACCATTTCCATCAAGTTTAGTGTTAGGAGCCCCAAATAAAGTTTCATACAGCTCATATCTTCTGCATCATCAGGAAAACAGAAAGCCTTTTACAACAAAAGAAAACCCAGAGTACAGAAAAAGAAACAAAATACTAAAAGGAATGGATTAGAATAACCAGAGCAGGCCAGTGGCAAGTGTCAAATATGAATGATTTGGCCCAATCCTACAGTCAGTATGTCACCTCACACCCTCACATCACTTCTAAAGCTTGACAGAAGCTTACACAATTTCCAACATAATTGTAGCATAAGGTTAGAGTTAAGACACCACATCCTCAGTGTCAAAGCAGTATAAGATTAGGACCTCAAGTAAGACCTCTAGTAAAATAGTTTTCCCACATTCTTTAAAGATGCACCATTTGGCTTCCTTCACAATGGACACTTTAAACATACATGACAGTTTAAAAAAAAAAAGTAAATTTTAAAGCAACTGCATAAAGAAGATTCTACAATACCTGTTTTCTCACACAAAACCTCAAGAACCAAGCAATATACAATAATTAATCCTTTACCTTCCCCCATATATCTAGATGAACACTTTTAAACCTGTGAGTATTTTTGTGATTACCACAGCAATAAAGCAGAAATGCAAGTGCAGCATCAAGGTTCTGGACTCTGAGTTTCAAAATGTCATTATGCTCAATATGTATCAGCTTTTATCCAACGAGGCTTAAAGGCACAACAACATATCATCAGTAACTACCAACACTCGAATTACCCTATTTCTGATATTTATATTACATGCCATGATGTCCAGTAAAGTAAATGTGCCTAAACTAACCAATTCTATTTTTACAATATAGCTATGAACTAATACTTACAAATGGATAAAATATGATGAATTATATTTCTTTTTAAATCTTTGTAACAAATTGTCCCAATGTCAAGAGTAAGAAATGCATGCCCAGGAACATAATGCAACTGAAAACAAGAGTATGATTTCTCCACAAATATGTGCTTTCTACATCCCTGCCCCAGCCCGAGGGGACTGGCTAATTCAGTATTTAAAAACTATGAAACTCAAATAAATTATTTCTCTTTACGTTTAATACAACTTGGGGAGTTAAGAGTACTATTCAGTCATAAACATCAAGACATTTGTGTTTAATTTACTGTCTTGTAAACATGCTTAGGACTAAAACCAGACAGAAATTAAACACTTTGGTTTTAACCTTGAAGTGTGCTGTAAGCAGGAAAAGTGTCTAGAATAATCATGCAGAAAGTATACCAATTTATTCTCCTCACTGAGCTGTCATTTTAGAAGCAGTAAGAAGTATCCAAGACTTCAACTTATTTTCTGTTTACTTTCCTAATAAACACTTTTTCATGACTTGCTACTTTTTCCCCATATAAAGTCAAAAAAGTGTATTTTGCTCAGAACATGCAGACTAAACACAAGACAGAAAACAAGCTTATCAATGAAAAACTCTCCTAAACAATTCAGATAATACTAAACAGAAGCTCTGGTAACCCACATCTACAGACAGTTGCATTCATCAGTGTGAATAATACATGAAACTACACAAGTGTAATGCAAAAAAATGATGCCAAACATGCATTAAGTGTTATTACAACAACTACACAAAGTGTAACATGTCAATAATAAACTGACACATCTCCCAAAATAATTTAGAAATACAGCCATCCCTGCTACCAAGTTGGTAATTTTCATTTTTAAACCAGCAATTCAATAGATGACAATTCTTTAATACATTTTCTTGCAAAACTCTGAACATTCAGTTTTTTAATTGGAGTAATTGCACTCTTCACACACTAAGACAAAAACTTTATTTGTATGATTTGGCACAGCTCTAGTTCTGAAAATGTCAGATGTGGAACTGCTACTGGTACAATGCTGGAAGTTCTAGAAACACAATGTTCCACACTCAAACAAAACTGAAGATGAACTACTGTTTCATTATTACAGATGTGTCTTCTGGGAAAATCTTTTTATTTGAAGTTGATTAGAACTGGAGCTGTGGCTTACCTTTCACATGCTCTCTCCCTTAAAAGCAGAACATAATATATGGAACAACACAGTGCTATCATGTCAAAGAATGAAGAATGTTAGCATTTTAAAAGACAGTATTTCCCATCTTTGTAATGGCAGCTTATATATTTTCTTCCAAGAAAAAGTACATGTGAATAGTCTTGCTTCTTTTTAAAGCAACTGTGCACATCTCTCCTGGAGAAATCGCGAAGAACACTATTTTCCATTTTTTTACTGGCTTGCATGTAACCTTCTTGGCAACTGCAGAAAGTGAACAGACAGATCAAGCTCACATAAAATTTGGCTCAACATTTTACTGTACATTTTTTTCTTCATTGCTTGAAATACTCGCCGTCCTGGACCCACTATCACCAAGAACGTAAACCATAACCGTATTATTCAGACATCTAAAGCCCTCAACATGCTTCTTACCCATTTGTTCTAGGCTATGTATTTCTTCCAAACTCACTTTATGAGAACATTTATTAAACTAGATTCTCTACAGCACAAATTACACTAAGTATGCACAAGTATGAAGAGTCTTGCTCTACTGCCTTCCTTACTCTTCTTTCCTTCCACACTGAAATGAGCAGAATCAATGATTCTCACTGGATCTCCTTTACCTGCTTTTACCTGGGTCTCCTGCTCACTGCCTGGTGACACAGAAGCAGGACCAAGAAGCAAGGAGGACAAAAGGCTATTTGTATCTGCAGCAAGGCATGTACTGGATTATTTTAAGTATGTATACAAACATTTCAAATTCCTATTAGCATACAGATATTTAAAACATTTGTAAGCAGCCTGGAAGATCAATTCAGCAGGCAGTTCAGTACTGCAGTAGCTGGTATACACAGTGTTTTTTCGTGCAATTTTACACTCTATAAAAATATTTAAAACTTAGAAACAATAATTTTAGTAGAATAAATCCTCTTATAACAAATAATGAACAGTAATGGATTTTTTTTTAAAAAGTAACACTTTAAAATGTCCAGAACATCAATAGCTAACAGATGGAAAAAGAATTACAATAAACCCTTGTGTTTTTTACATCTTCTTAGATTTATTTTATCTTCCACTTTGCTTGTGTGGTTATTTAAAGCGGGAAAACATGTTTTGCTTGGGGTTGGGTTGTACACCAAGATATTTAGGGCTTGGGAATTTCTTTGGGAGAGATGTTTTGTTTTGTATTGTTGGGGATTTTTTTTCTTTCAAGAATTAACTGATAATAAAATCCATTTCCCTGTCACACACACAAAAAATTATTACAGTGAATTAAGGCAAAAAATTAATGAAAATACCTTAATCCCATCTCATCACTGCTAACAGATATGTACTATTTAATTTTCCTTTACCATTGTCTTCTGTTTGGTGCTTCTCTGATGCACTCAGGTTTAAGACTGGATTCTCACTGGTTGATGAGAGGCTAACAGCCTTAAAATCAGCTGTTACATACTTACATGGTATGTGTACCTTGCATAAAGTTGCTGTATTCAGCCACAAAGTCAAGTCCTACACAACAACTTCATAAAAACAACACAGAAGAGATATATCCAATTGCAGTGATCCCACCCTTCAACCCAAGAATATCAAAATTTTTTTTTAACATTCATTCATTTCTGTTTTTCTGCTATTCCTTGGCCATGTGCACAAAACTAAATTCAGTTCAAAAAACCCAACACATGAATGTAACTGGTATTTCTACCTCTTCGATTAAGAATTAGCTGGTTTGTGGTTTCCATGTAGAACAAGACTTAAAGTTATTTTTGTGAATCTGCTGCAGATATAAAATTAAACCACACTTTTCTCACTTTTGTTAAGTTACTTTATTCCTTCTCTCCCATTTTTTTTGTTCAGTTTACACACAGGACCCTCCACACTTATTCCTGTTCAAGGATCTATGCAGTTTTCACTTAAAGTCAAGAACGGTATCTTTATTCTCACTGCAATTCTTTCAAGTCAAGCACTTAACATCCCACATACAATTAGCATGTAAATTCAATCAAATTATACAGCTATGCTTTACTCTACAGAAATTGAGATATAAAAGCACACTAGTAAATCTAGGAACAATGGAAGCTCTAGACAAATCATTTACCCAAACAGATGGAAAAACTTTATCCGTAAGTATATGTAGCAACACAGTCCAGTTCCTTTTGAATCTCATACCTCTTGTTATGAGAATTTTATTCTCCACTCAAAGGACCACATACAAATCACTTGAGTTTTTACACACATTCATAAATTTGCTTTCTTTCTTTCACTGTGATTTGTGTATGTATAATAATCATTACTTTAGAGCAGAGGGTTTTTTAATAAGTTTTACCTGTAAGTATGCTGTTTATCTCTGAATGGTTTTCTGAGTAGCTCCTTCAATTAGGAAAAAAGGGCTGCTGTTCCAAACAGAAGAAACTTCTCACACTGCTTTTAAAAGTCAGGCTGAGGTCATTAATAAGGATGCCTCGAAATTTAAATTATATTAACTTTCAGAGTATCTTAAGGAAGTTCAAGATGGAAAAGACCTATTAAATCTATCCCACTGAAAATGAACACATTGAGAGTTTGTTTCCATGCATAAAAATTACAGTTTACATGAAAATTTCACATTCAGTTTATTTATTCTACAAGTAACATTTTAGACAATTTTGTAACTAGCTTCAGTATTTAACAGATTATTGTGAAAACATACCTGAAATGCCTACAGCTGTGATTTTTTAAATATTTTATGGAAAGCACCCAAAATTGTTGGAAATATGGAAAACCAATACTTTAACAAAACACACCAAACCTGTGAGATTGCTAAAACTACTTTACAGTATATCTGCAAAGGTAACAAAAGGTAACATAAAAACAATCCAGTGGGAAAAATTATACCTAACGATTAGGTATTCCAAGTTTTTAGTCAATCCTCTTATTGTTACCAAGTTCTTACATTTCTGTAAGTGAAGTTTGAAGAAAGCAAATGCTTTCAGGTTACTACAGTTCAACATTTGCCACCAAGCTAGCACTGAATGGACAATAATCTAAAGTAGTAACATCCTCTGCATTTCCCATAGGCCACACTCACTCCCTCCTTACCACTCATGAATCAGGAAAGTTTGGACTGATATTCCCTCACGCTAGGAGTGAGCTAACAGCCCAAGGAAAGCACCAAACTCCAAGATGAGCATCTTAGTAACAGCACAGTGCCCATATTAATAATTTGAGGGCTCCTGAGAGGACAATTAAATTGCATCAGAAGTGTGTGCTCTCTGAAGCCCCCCACTCTTGGCCACAAGCACAAGCTAACAAAAGATGCTGCATGCAGACTCTAAAACTACCCACAGATATGCAACACTTCAAGTCTCAGGAATGGGAGATTTCACGTTTTCACATTTTCAGTCCAACATAAACTGACTCTGTTTGCTACCCTGCCTTCCATACTATTTTATTGGCTCAATTATGCTTTAGTTTGACTTCTAAAGGGAAAAATAATGATCCAGCTTCTTATAAAAAAATAGATAGATTGGGAAGTATGCCAAAAAAATTGTTACTGCAACATGCTTAAGTAAAATGAACTTCATGGCACCAGAGCACACCAATTAATTGCTGAACATCTCACCTCCAAGTATGTTTTCTCTCTTCAAAAGGCTTACAGGGTTTTGGTTTTCACTTGAAAATCTGCCTTTAGATTGGTTATTTCAGCATTTTTGAGCAAAGTTGTCTCAAGGTAGATCGCAATTGTTTTGTAACACAAAGTTCATAAATGTCACTGTGCTTGTGTTTTATACCTTTCAAAGAACTTGTAATTACAAATTATTCTAGATCTGAAATCAAGAGTGGAAAAGAGGGAAATTGATATAACATTTTAAAATGTGGCAGCATACTTTAGATGAGAATGCTACTCAAAACATGCATACTATAAAATCCTACTGGAGTATGCTTAAAATTAAATTAATGCAGTATTTAGTTCATACTGTGTTCTTGCCATCTATATCTATTTTAAATTTTGTTCTAGTAAGAATCTTCAATTTATTATATCTTTATGTGCAACTGCGTAAAACAAATTTGTTGACAACAAATAAAACAACTGCATGTCAGGAATTTTCTTTCTAGGTAATCCACAGCAGTTTGTGAATTTTTTAGGAAATAAATACAGTAAAATATATTAGGATCACCACGAAGTTTCCCAAGATATCAATGTGCCTTATCTAATGAGCACACTGGTCAGAACAGCATATAACTTAAACGGAACAGTAAAGCTTTGTTAAATACCAAAATTTTATCTCACAGGAAAATTAGGCAGTTTAGGAATACGAAACTGCAGGAATAATGTAAAAGCTCAGCAAGTACATTACAAAAGTAACTGTACTGTAGGTGGCAGATTCACATATATTCCAAGCCTATTTGTTTTAGCATACCATATAGCAGAGAGTCAAGACTTCACTGTGCTTTCCAGTCAAACAGTGCAAATGTAGTTAAAAACTTGAGTACATGTGTACACAGAAAAAATGATAAGCTGATCAATCAAATGAGGAACAAGAAAAATTAATCACTTTAGCAGAAGGGCAGAACCTTAATGTAAAAACTGGTTGGCCACATCTACACATTTTTAGGAAATAATTTGTGACCATTCCTTTTTTAACAAAATTAGGTGTGTTTATTGTATAGCTACTACCACATTTAGCAAAATGAGAAGCATTGTCTTTAGAGTTGAGCCAGGCAGCCCAAAGAAAACTTTCAAGAGCTGAACTCAACAGTGCATGATCAGCTACAAAAGGCATTCTTCATTAACTATTTACAATCTGCCCAAAAATACATTTCAGTATTTATTTGTTATGGCTTGGAAATTTAAAAATAGATTAAATTATTTTCTGCAGTAAGGATAGCTGACAAACCCACTGCTACCATGCAGCAGAGCCATCCAAGTCAGAGGTTTACAGGAAGGGCAGGTCACAACTGTGAAATGACAATCACTAATGTTAAATAAAAACTACAAGAACTTTCAAATAAATGCATACTTCCACTTGCTACCAAAACCACAGTGCAACAAACATGTACTTAAAATAGCATGAAGCTGGCATGGAAAGTATGAACTGCTTTTGCTGATTCAGTATATTAAATGTTCTTCTGAAACTTACTCAGATATGAGTATAAGGAGAAGGGTTTATATAGCTAAACAAATATACATGAGCTAGCTAAAAAGGCCTGAGCAACACAGTCTTTTCTTCTGAAAAAAATGAACCAACCTTTTGAATCTAGTTTAATTTGTATTTAAAACATGTTCCCTGTACAGCTTTACAGTTGAGAACTACCAAATCACACCAATACTTTATCAATCCCCTAAAAAAGTCAAGTACAAGGGCAGAAAACATGAGAAAATAGTAATCTCATACTTAGACACCTTACTAGATACCAGTGTAAACTGTACTTTGAACTGAATAAAGGACACTAGAGCAGAGAGGTTAAGTAGTTGCCATATACAAACACTAGTTTATAGCAGTGAAAAAAGTAATTTTCCCAAATCTTAACATTTAGGATCAGTGTGTCAAGTAAAATCACTTGCAGTTTGGTTGAGGTTTATTTTAAGAATATGGCATGTATCAAATCAAGCAAAACATGGCAACATTAAAGACAATCTAAAGGAAAATGCTTAGCAGGTACAGATGTCACAAGTGAGGACTACACACTTAGGTACACTAAGGTAACTCCTGAATTGTATGAAAACAGTATCTTAAGCCATAAAACACTGGCAATTTAACTAACAGTGTATTTCCGGTATGCCAGCAATGATGCAATTTTCTTCTTAACCATGTGTTCAAAATTCAATCCACCAAGCCAATCATGGCTACATTAACAAGTACCACACACAAGCCCTCTCTGCTGCTTGCATCCCATGCTGAGACATGTATATACCATTTGGATGTGATTAGGGTACCAGGTTATTTCAAGTTCATTTTTAACCAATTTAGTATCACAATTCATGCAGATGAAATTTAGTAATGACTACCTCTGAAAATGTGAGTGAACTGATCAAAAAGAACACTTCTATTTTACAACTATTTTGTACAGGAAAAAAGAGTAATAGTAACCAACCAATATCCCTACTTTATTTGCCATTACAGGAATAGAACCAATAGGTCTTTTCCATCATCTTCCAAGACTGACAAAAAAGAATCATAATAAGCTTCCTTGTAGGTTTACTATCAGTTTTATCTTAAAACTCAATAGGCAAATATACCCTGAGTTGTGCTGTAAATAGGCCATTTCCAAATTTCTTGTTCTGTAAAACCTTTCTGAAATACTCAAGTGCAATCCTTCTAAATGCATAATACTCAACTATAAGTGAACTTACTTTTGCTGGAAATCATGTATTTGCTTCCTAATTATACAGTTACTCATTGATAACAGACATGGCTTTTTTCAACCCAACCGCTGGGGAAAATGTATACTTAATAATAATGATGCGCAAACACAGTGGAAAGCTTTCAACCAGCGTGCAGAAATGTCTCCTTCCTTGCAATGGAAGATACTTTAACCATCAGCAGAACACATAGATGTCACAAGCAATTTTCTCCTCTATAAATATGGTTTAGGTAAATTCACTCATACTGTTATGAATAAAGCATACATAGCGATTCCTTTCCAAAGTTGGTTTTTTCCCTCCCTAAGTTAAATTTTCTAATAATTTGTATAACAGATAACCTCTGTCGATAACTTCTTACTGTGACTAAGTTTGCAGTGGTGGATTGAGATGCAAGGACACAGTATCTTTGATAACACTTTGTATAAAATTTTATGCTCTTTAAAAGTCAAAACAAAAGCAGTTATAAGTTTTTCATAGTATCTACTGCACCATGCAGTTTAGCTAAATATTCACTATTAAGAATGGAACTTTCTTGACACATAGTAGAAACTATGTAAAAATGAAAATGATGCCTCTTAAAATTAAGCATAAAATTATTCTTACTCAGTAATAACATTCCCAGAATCCTTTCCAGTGATTTTTGTTTTATTGTAATCAGATAACTGCATGTTTTACAGCATAGTCACACATTGTATTTTGCTAGTCACAAACACATTGCCTTACATAATGATCTGCATCATTTCTGCTCTATACTACAAAGCCTATGACTGAATACAAAAAAAGTTTTACAAAAGAAACTGTTTTAAAGACTACAATAACAATAGAACCGTTTCCAGATAACAGCTAAAATTATAAAGGCATATCACTGTATAATTTTACTGGAATTTCTAAAACAGTAAGGAATGAATTAAGGTTTAGTATCTGCGACGCTTGTTAGGTCCTTCAAAGTTGCCCCCTGGGTTTCCTCTACCAAAGCCACCAGGTCCACCACTCACGGCACCTACACCACTCATTGGCGGCTGAGGAGTTTCAGAGCCCGTTCTACTAACCAGAGGTGAACCCATCTGGGATGGGCCTCCTTGAGCGAATCTCTCATTATGCTAACACAAGTCCATTTGGAACATGCCAAATGTGAGTTACAACAAAAACCACAAGTGATGTTGTCATGGAGTTCAGCAGATAGTCCAGCAGAATCAGGATCACACATAGAAGGAAGAAAGGAGCAATTCAATTAGTTATTATGGAAAAAGAGCTGGAAATTAAAGAGTGTTATGCTCCAACTTTGTAAAGTAAATTAAAAATTAAAAACAATACTTAAGACTGACTCTGGTGCTGAATGCAACTTCATCCTTGCACACAAATCTGAACCAATACATATTCTCTATTTAACAAAGGAGACAGCAAACACTTTTATATCTGAGCCCTACTGCACCTTACATACCGACTACAAAGCTCCTCCCCTAAATAAATTAGACAGAGACACATTGTCAAACTAGGAGGGGAGGAAACCACCTTTTGTATTTCTAGCTACTGCATATTTATTCTTTTAATAGCCTTAAGAATTCAATACCCACATATCTATGGATATTTCAAGTCCATGCTACCTGGAGTTAGCCTTTTGTTTGGTACTTAAGAGATCTTTAGTTAAGGCTTTTAAAATTCTGAAATTCTGTCAGAACGAAACTACATTGGTGACAAAATGCAAAATTTTGGACTATTCCTAGTTTATAAAAATTCTGTACTTAGCTAAGGCTCATTCTAAAATATCGGTGTGAGATAAAAATCCAATTAATATTCCATATTTCCTTAGCTTTATGCTTAATGTCAATAAAGGTATATATCCTTACACAGATTTATTTGCTTAATTTCTAAAAGCATCCATTTGAGCACTTACAGTTCGGTATTTATGCAAATTTTTAAAAATAGAACCTGACATGGTGAAATTTAAACTCAACATAAACCTTTAACAGCATAGATACACGGTACAATAAGATGTGTAAGTAACTCCTCATTCACCAGTTAAGGACAGTTATGCCTTCAGAAGAAATTCCTTCTGTACAGAGATCTATATCACTCTCAAGTATTCAGAGTTCAGTAAGGACATTTAAGACCAGCATTTTATTAATATGCCTGAATCAGAAAAGAATTCTTCTGAAAGCCTAACTCCAGTAACAGTAGTAGAGCTCAGCAGCTCTGGAGACTGCTAATTCATATATATGTATGTATGTATGTATGTATACATAACTGAAACTCCAGCATTTTTTCTATATAGATAAAAGTACATGCAACCTAGACTATGGTTGTATATATGTGCATTGTTTCAAGGGCAACATTGTACATGGGAAAGGTTACTTCAAGAGCTGCATAAAGATCTACTACTGAGCTGAAGGACATTTAAATCTATAGCAATGGATAAAAACTGTTTTAAAATTATCTTAATGCATGTCAGCTTGTTAGCAATGGATATGAATTTCAACAACTTATTACATACTCCTGGTCCCTTTCACCATTTGACTTTTGGACAAAAAGTCAAGTTCTCTTTCCAGCTAAGAAGAAAAATGCTGTAATTAACTACCTACATTAGAAAGTGGGAGAAGCTACTTTAAAAATGTTATGCTCAAAGAAAATCCAGGTTTCAAAAAATTCAGTGAAACAAAAAGGAGATTGCTACAACTTTCCCTTCAAAACTTCAGACAAACATCCAATTAAAAACATTAAATTTGTATTTATGGTCTATAAAGCATATTCTTCATTTCCCTCAGTGGAAAATAACTGTTACAGTGTTTCAGTAGATAGTCCTTAAAGGATCTTTAAAGTGTCTTTCTAACAACAGCAATAATACAATAAGGCTATATAAGCCTAACCCCCTCCAAGCTAAAAACTTTCAAAGACCAAAACAAAGAAAAAACTAAAATCTAACTTGTCCTTCAGAAGCATGCATAAGAAAATGGAAGGAAAAAGAATATTTTTTAAACATGCACTTTGAAGTGTCAGTATATTTTCTACATTTCCATACCTGGAATGACTTTTTGTAGAAAAACAACAGTTTAAGTTAGATACTGTGATTTACGATATCATGTTATTTTCTATATACTTCTTTTTATAATAACAAGAGAAGGTTCTCAAGGTGACCAGTAAAATAGGGGTATCCAGCAAAAGCATTTAGAAATCTAATATTTTGTGAATAGCATCCTCCCCACTTTGTAAGAAATAACACAACTGATAAAGTGAGCTGGCTCCTATGATGTGAAGTAAGATCCTCTCCTTTTTATCTAGTAAAGACCAGACCCACAATGTATTTTGTGCAAAATCAAAATCTCATTTTCTTCTATGGAACAAAAGATTTTGTTCTAACTTCATTATAAAGATTGCTGAATCACAGACATACTGTTGAGAAGGTATATCAAAAAAATCACAGCTACAAAATGCTTCTGTGTTCCAATAAAACTGTAAAAGAATAACTGTTAATAGTATGTATTCCTTTATTGCACACCACTAGTAACAGAACAGTACTGAAAAAATACGTAAAAGTCAGATTTCAAATTATGTAGTTGTTTCTCTACATAAGACATTACAGCTAGGAAAAGTGACTGGCTGTAAAAACAAAGTAAGAATGGCCTATCTGCTCTTGATTAAAAATCCCAGACATGTAAAAAACATTCCCTATTATCTGTGGCAATTGGGCAATATTATTTTTCCCGTATTGATACAACAGTTATCAATAGCTCTTGGCTACTGATTTTCCAAGTGGCGTAATTACTGTCAATCTCATGCGTTTAACAGTATTAGAAAAGAAATACAAAGCATACTAAAGTTGCTTTAAAAAATTAAATAGTTTACACAAAGATATCTTCACACTTTGCACCTTCCAGCATTTAACTGTTCATCAAAAAACACAACAAGCTAATTCACAGAATTTAGTTGTACTAAAGAAAAGAAGAGTAAATATCTAAATTTACAGATTTTTTTTCCTAAGGGAAGCAGGAATTTCACAGCAATATAAAAAAAAAATTCTCTTATGGTTTGTAAATTATTTGCATGAAAAAGTTTTATCAATCACTTTTAACAGATCCAAAACATTTAGCACATTCTTACTCAGCGTGAAAATACCTTTGGTAAGAAAAATGGGCCATGAGACATGACAGCTATTCAAAGGAATTAAATTTGTGATACATTACCACTGTTCCATTATCTGGCATCATTGGTGTTCCCATATTTGCAGCTCCTTCTGGTCCCATGGAAGGACCAGGACCCATTGCAGGGCCAGGTAAAGTTCCTCTGTTGTTCATATTCATACCCATCATTGGAGGAGGGCCTTGGTTACCAGCAGGTGCTGGGCTAAACGCATCTATGCAAAACAATCTATACTTAGAGCTGTCCTATCTTAATTTTAAAAGAACAAACAAACAATTTACAATATTTAAAAAGCCAAATGTACAAGACTTCAAATACTTGGAAAAAAAATATTCTTTGAGACTGTACATTTACCTCAATCATCTGCTTTTAAACAGATTTTAAATAATCTCTCATTACATAATTTGCCTTATGTATTTGAAAATCCCAACCTTTACAGCTAAATATAGCTGTACAGTTTCTGTGCAGGAATCAATGCATTCATATTGCATCTCTCTGTGGAGTATGCACACCATAAATTAGCAAAAATCTCAAGTGATTTTACAGATATTGGCAGCTATACAGCAACTTGGCTCTTTAGGGATCTTAACAGATGAAATGTACATTTGCAAGAAGTCTTCTACCAGTAAGAAGTATGCTAATTGATATAGTGTACAGTAGATTAGTCTAAGGTCTAAAAGCAATAACAGAGATGGTATTCAGCTTCAGAATAAATTATTTGTAATACAGAATAAATAAAATCTTGCATTTAGTTGTAATTTCTTATGGTATAAGTACCAGTAAATGAAATACTTTTGTTAGAACCTGAAATGACAGAACAATCTCCTCCAAAAGTCTGAATCAAAGAGGTAGAAGAAGAAAATCTTGGAAATATATTCTGAGGGGATTATTTAACTGTAATATTACACTAAGAAGCATCACTCTGACAGTACTCGCTAACGTACTGAACACATAGGCAGAAATGCTTTTGTAGTATTTTCACATGTTGCTATAAGAAAGAAGTCTGATTATCTACCTCACACTTTACTATTACGAAATATCAACTTCAAGGCTGTAGTGATGCATTCCTCCCATTCCCCACAATAATCCATCCTTTTCAGCCCCCAGTATGCATCCAAAATTTGATAATGGAAGAAAGCATGCCTTTGGAATTTAGTGTACACATTAAGTATACACTTTCATAATATAAAGAAATCTGATATGTTGCTAGACTAATAAGCCTATCATTTATAATTTAAAAATAAACCCTCTCACTTCTCACCACAACTGCACCTTTTTAGCAATGAATATATAAATATACATCATTTAAAAAGGCCACTTTACACAGATACAGTACCGTGACTATGTCCAGGTATGCACAATTACACCTCTATTACTTGCCCTAAGAACACCATGTCACAGCAGCCAGTGAAACCATGGCATTCAAGACATTGCTGCTAAAATTGAAGACCTGGGTTTGATCATATACGTTAGGTCAATCACAAACACCTTAGCAAAAACAATGCATGCTACACAGCAGCACATGAGCAATGCTGAAATAGTTTACAAGTTACAGAAATCCTGTAACTTCGAAATGCAGAAGTCTTTGAGCTTACTAATGAGTAATTAGCAATGAGACCTCTCCCTATAACAGTCAAAGCAAAGGTACACTCAGGTTGGATGCTTCATACCTATCCATACACATGATCAATTCAAGTAGCAAGTCTGGGCCACAATTCAAGAAAATTACAGTGCATATGCTCAAAAATGGTTTTTCACTGTCATTCAGTTAGATACAGAACAAGTCTAAACTGCCAGTATAAGGAGAAACCTTTATTCTCAGAGGCTAGAGGCACTCTGCAGGAGTATCATGATGGTAGCAGCACTCAGTACATGCAGTAGTACCACTAACTAAATGCTAAATTACTCACTATTGGTTGGTTTATCAGCCTAATCAAACTGAGCCAGGTGGCCACCCACAGGTACCGTCACTTAGCTGTCAACTGCCAAAAAGTTCTCATGCTCCATATCATACAAATGCACCCAGGGTGGCAGATAGCAACCTATACTATCAAACCGCAAGAATACTGATCCTGTTTCAGGCAGAGTCAGATCTGAAAGGAGCAAAACTACAGAGTATGATGCAACAAGAGAGTGGGGTCCTGCATACTTTCAGTGAGAGGCCACTACAATACATTAGCTGTAACTCAGAGGTACTCCAAAATCCTCCAAAGCAGACCCTTAGAGCTTTCTTTTTGGTAGGACACTGATGTGAGGAGTTAATTTACAGGACCATGTTCAGTAACAGATGGAAAGCAGTCATTAGTGTTCATGCGACAATGTAGACACTAAAAAAAAAGTCCTTTTCTGCAAACTGAAGGAATGAAAAAGTTCATTTTAAGTGCCTGAAATGCACCAACAAGAAAGTCCATAATCTTCATCAATGCAGAGACTGTTCCCCAAAAAGCCCCCTTTTTCCATACGTAAGTTTACAATCTGCGCTTAGCACTACAGATCCAATTAAATACTCTGATGAGGTATAAATATTCTCTCAGAATTTGTTTGTTTACAGAAAGCTGTAAAAATGAGCAGTTCTATACAAGTCAGCCCAGCACTTATTAAATCTGTCACAGAACTACTCTGCTTTCTAAGAAAATTATCATGCAGGTATTTCAGTTACTGGAGATATTCCAGCTCCCTCTGTTCCACATTATAAGAAGTTGCAAATGGCACAGGTAGAAGTCAGTTAAAAATAGTTACAATTTCAAGAGAAATATTAAGAAAGGATGCTACTGTCAACAACTAAAGATCTACAATTTAACAGTCTACTGTAATCAATGGAGTTAATATGCTGGAGAAAAACCAAAATCTCTATGAGTGAACTTAAAATCCAGCCTCTGCAGAAATAAATGCTAGACTTACTTGCTATGGATATTTCAAAATAGCAGTCCAATGTTACTGCAACATTTTTTTGGAATGATACAATTTATTTCTAAAATTATTAAGTTTAAAATCAAATCTTAACATAAAACTTAGAAAGCAAGACCAACAACATTACTGTTAAGAACTGCAGTAAATACACATTTTAAATCTACATGTAAAAAAGTGTATCTTGTGTATCTGGACAACTGGCACAGTATCAATATCTACAAAGTCTTCTAATTAAATGAAATTTTCAAGTATGATGACATCATATGCAAAAGTACAACTATAAAATAAAAATTACACCTCAATTTATGCTTCAGTTTAATATTTGTAGATAAGTTCACAATGTTCTTCTTCACAATTTTTTTAAATCATTTTCATCATCCCTGAAAGCACAAGCTTATTTCTATTTTTCAGCTATGTGTCTCAAGAAATGCAAGGAAATCATGAATAATGTTTTAAAATCTGAAGCAGATTCATTACTCTATAAATTCACATTACTCAAAAGGTCAAGTGAAATGTTTACTACGTTTTGCACTTTTAATTTTATAATATATGCAAAAACAGTTGTATTACTTGTCTTTTAATTACCACCTTAATTTATTTTAAATTACCATTAGGAAGCTTCCAATAGATTTAACAGTTCACACAGTTCAGTTAGATTTAGTGGTTTTGAAGAATTATTTTAAGTTTCAGTCTTGTTTAAAAGCAGATATTCTGGGTAAGATTCCAAACTGTTTCAGTCTGCATATATGGAGCAAGCACTAATTATTATACTCTTCTAGATTACACATAGTAGTTTTTAGCAGTGGCAGTATTTTAAGTTGCAAGAGCTGAGAATATTTGCAAATAAGAGAGGAAATTGGTAGAACACCAAGCACATTATTCATTTATAACACCAAGTACATTAGGAAGAACTTGCCAATTTTAACCTCTACATCATTTTACTGCATGCAATTATGGTCACAATTTATTTGAATAGGTAATCCCTTCAAAATTATGCCAAATATTTTTTGAACATAAAATTCCTCTTTTGCACCAGATAACTCCCAGAGCATCACTTTTCACTGATTTTTGTTTCTCTTGACTTGCACATAATTTTTTCACCATGTATAGTCAAAACAGTAAAATAAAGATACACTGGGGACAGGGGGGGGAAAGCTGCTTGAAAGCAAGATACAAGTTTTTTTATTTCCTAATATTGCTTACTCCTTTTTTACCAGTTTTCACTAATTCATAGTGCTTGAGTAATATGTACAGTCCCAAAGAACAAAAATTTACATTACAGAAGCCTTTTTCCTTCAGATCCCTACCTCCCATGTTTATTGCTCCACGAGGACCCATATCACCCATTCTCATTTCCTGTTCTCTCTGAAAGTAAACATAGTTTTCATGGTCAACCTATCATTTATAGAACTTAAAACATTCCCATTTACTCCATGAAAATAAAAATGTCAGTTTCAAAAGTTTCCATTAATTAAAAACAATGCAAGGAATGAAGTTAATTATACTCCTGATTTTTATAATATCAAAGGGTTGAATAAGTTCAGTATAACAATGCTGTACATTTTTGCATATTAAAGATTAAATATGCTAAGTTTTCATTTATTAGATGCAACAGTCTAAAGCTCCCAACTGCAAATGAATCCATCTTCTTGCAGTGTTTATAATTAATAAATGTTTCTATTTTACCTGTAAATAAACAGGTCTTATTACAGTATTTGCCTAAAGGCTGTGGTTCAGTAATACTCAATCTGATTTCAAGACTCAAAAATACTTGTGTTGATTGAAAACCAAGACCTAATGTATTACATTATGGTGTAAAAATTCAACCTGCCAATTAATCATTGCTCAAATAGCTTTGACTTAACTTTGGTAGTGGTGTATTTTTTCAGTGAATTATACTTTACTATTGATATTAGTTCAGATACTGACCATACTTTTAAAATCAGCATGAAATAGTAGTATCACCAGAAACTGTAACATTCATTTACACTAAACAGATAAATAACACATCAAATTGATCCAGACTCAATTGATGCTCAGTCACCCAACAGCAAAAGATTTCTGACATTATTAAACGTGAACCCCATCCTGCTATGAAACAATACTCAAAGGATAGTACCCAGAGTAGCAAAAAAATCATCACTTATGGGAAAACAAAGTACTCTATCAGAGACAATTCCAAGGGATTTTAGGATTACTGTTTACATCAAAAAGATTAAAGAGAAACAAATCCACAGTTCAAAACAAAACTAATGAAATTTATAAAAAAAAAATTGTCCTTAATTTTCTGCAGGAATGTTAACAAGTACGCTGCTCTTGAGTAAACACATGCTGAGAATAAGAAAATTTTTAAAAATTTACCTCATTCTGAAAAACCATTCCACTTACGATTTAAGAGCCTATGTTCAGATGCATTTTGAAAACAAATCCACATACTAGGCAACTATATCAGTGTACAAGCAATTTTTACATGGAAATATTAGTAAATCAAAATACATTCATATGTATTCATATCTGTACAGGTTCACAAAAGTCTGCTTTGGTCAATCATATTTGGGATGCCAAACATGAGTCTTCTATCTTCAGCCACCTGAAGCAGCAGACACCACTATTTGACAGAAGAGAACCAATAGTTTTATAAAAATATCCTGCTATAGGAAATTGCCATGAGATACATGATAAAGAGCTCTCAGGTCAACAACTTTGTTTGTAGTAACTCATATTAACCTAGAAAAAGTACTTTACATAAGAGTACACACTGTTTTCAAAAGAATATGGCTCAATGTGGAGCAGAAAAACAAGGTCTGGTAACTAAAAGACACAGGCAGATTTTGAAGTCCAGCTAAAAAAGGCCATTGATGGAACACTAAGGAGGATCTCTTCTTCTGACACTAGAACCCACATTAAAATTTTATTAGAGAACATGCAGCTACTCTGACAGACCTTTCACAGTAACATCAACTGACATTTTAAGTAAAATCAGCAGCCCCATGGGGATGAACCATACCCATAAACTGACATGAATTAGTCACAAATCAGCATACAACCATGTTGATTATTAGCCCACTTGTACACCTCAGTCTTGACATCAGGAAGCAGAAGGGAAAGTGGTGTATTACCCCTACTGTCAGTCCCTAAGTCAACAGGATAGGGAAACACAGTGACTATCAGTTTACACTAGTCAGATTGTGTGCACACATGCACGCCTACATGCTTGTGTGAAAACCAGACACGTCATGAACTGTTGTGAGAAAATTTTTCACTACAAAGTAAAGCACCAGACTTTACAGTAGGCACAAACCTTACTTGATTCATCTCAGGTTCAACTGCAAGTCAGCTGGTATTTGGTTTTTTAATGTGACAAGTGCCATAAGGCAAGGCTAAGTATAATAATGGCTAGATAAGCATGTTAAGTACAGAGCTATAAAGCTGCACTAGTAACTACAACTTGTTTTCTTTGTAAAGGACAGAAGCATATGCAAGCTCTGATGATAAAAAACACACTGGTCTTCCTCTTAGCAATCAATCATTTTTTCCCTGTCTTGAAATGCTACCAGTCTTCAGTTAACTGAAGTACAGCAAAAGATAAGTAGAACCTACTTTTGTTTAGTTTAACTTTTGAAAGAAAAAGCATGAAGTAATTGTTTGCAATTTTTTTAGCTTTAACTTCAGTGTTCAATTATTACAGTATAAAAAACATTTCAGGTATATAATCAAGATCCATAAATGTGCCTTAAGGTCTCTGTTGCCTATTACTTTATCAACATGTCTGCAAGATAAGCTGCTGCTTATAATTATTCCTACTGTTGCATGTTCAAAACATATAATGGTCCCTTGATTTTTCAGCACAGGAAATTCTTCTGTATTCGTAACACAGAATTAGCAACTTTACACTTCCTGTCAGAGAAAATACTCAATTTCCAACATTAACCAGCAGTACATATCATTAATGTCATCAGATGTTTGATGTATTCAAAAATTTTATCTGAAGGAGTCCTGGGTGGTAAAAAAAATTCAGTCCTGTCACATACAAATCAGGACACCTCTTTAATATGTGAGCATAAACATCTTACTACAGGTAAGTTAGGTCAACTAGCCCATGGGTTTTGCCTAAATATAACAGAAAGGAATACCAACAAGCAGTTTGACACAATAGCTGAGTCAATCCTGGTTGATAATTCCAGCCCACCTAAGAGGTTCATTTTTGGATACTCAAGCTTTTTGCAGAGCTTTACAAAGATAGTGTTACCTTCTCAGAGCTTCTTTTCCTCACTATATGACTTCCCATTCTTCTGTTCAGTAGCAGCCTGCTTCAGCCCCTTCCCCAAAGGCACCCATAACTACCCACAACAGGGAGTTAAAACTGAGCAGCACGAGAACAGGGTTAAACTCTTAAAAGAGAAATATGTGGGGTGATTAAGAACCTCTGAAGTCACCCGTACCTGGGAAGACAATCTTAACAGGAAGAGAACAAGAAAAACGGATGATATGCTATTACAGGGAAAAAAGAAATCTGTAAGACAAAGAATGTGCAGGAAAGCTTAAGTTAAACTTTGTGAAGATCAGAAAAAAAACATTATCAAAAAGATAAAGTCACCAACAAAAAATGCCCTATTGCAAAAGCACTGTTTACACAAATCAAACCTTTCCAAATCATTTGTTGCCAGGACTCTTGTAAAATACTTCAGAACTCACTAATGCAGACAACCCTCAAAAGGGTCCAATTTGTCTGGGTAATCTTTTAGAAAAATTGCTATAATGGCAACTATAAGATAATACTTAATTACTTTAGACAGAAGCATTAAAAATGTATTTCTCACAATGCAAACTAATTTTAATGCCAAATGTAAGAAGTAGATCTAAACAAAAATACTGAATACACTCATTTTAAAATATGTATTTTATATTTAATATAGTATGGATTCTCCCATTTTTACCAAGTACTTGAAACAAGTTTTTCAAAGTATTTGAGGTGTATCATGTGCTATGTTCTTACACCTCCTATCTTCACTGATACAGCAGTCTAAATATACAGAGAATAGTCAAATGACTCTTCTGAGTTTGTTCAATATATTACACTATTTTAAAATTTGTTCTACAGAACCATGAACCTAAATGTTTTGAAAAACACCTAAGAATTGATAAAGGTCACACTGCAAGGAAAAATACAAATAGACATAAGCCTGACTTTTTTAACTGACAAACCAGTGCTACTTTTTTTCCTTAAAAACAGGCCTTGCAATTGCAGCAGCCCAGTAAAAATTAATCTTGTCTCCAAATGATGCAAAGTTCATGGTAACAAAGCTGTCAAAATTATAGTATGAACAAAATATGGCATGAAAAATTTTAGAACAGCAAAAAAGCAAGATATCTCAGAAATGTTAAGAAGACAGACCATACAGTTTTCAATGGTTTGTGTCCAGAAGAACGTGCGAGTATTTACTCACCTTTCATAGTATAGTAACCACAAGAATGCTAAGACATGGCATCCAAAAAATGCCCTAGCAAGAAAAGAACATTTTCCCCATAAACTTGAAAATTAATAGTTCAATTTGCACTTTATCTAGGTTGTGTGTGTAGAGCAAACCGTAATTAACAGTGCTGTTGATTCTCACTTGTTTTCATTAACATGAAAACTGAATTTTATTGTCTAACAGACTATATATTTATCAAAACAGGTATGACATTTCTGAACCTCTTACTAGAATTCATTACTCCCTTCTAGTGTGGCTTATTTCATTAAGTTCCTTCTAGAAAAGAAAAATTGTTTCCAAAGACCTCTTAAGAAGGCATAAGGCCCTTAAACCTTACATGTATTGGAACTTACAGAAAGACACCTATATTTTAATAACATAAATCATACAAGTAATTAAAGCTGCTAGTTAGCAACCAAAAATAGAATTTGGGGGATACTTTCAATTGCGCGTTATTTGTCTTTTCCTCAGAATAGTCCACTATTTCACTCCAATGACAAGTGCACTGGAAGTTAAGTGGCAGTAAAAAGTTAAAATAATAAAATGCTTCTCTTCCATCCCCTGCTTCTTGTCACCCTTCCCTCTGCAGTTTGTTCCTCAATTAAGATCTCTATGTAAGATCCAAAAGTTACAATATCCCAACACAGTTCATATACAATAGCAGTAATTAATTTTAAATGAAAAATATCTTTCAAAATCCAAGATTTGTATGTGTTCCTGACCACTGTAGTCTAAATTCAGAGCTGATCCCTACTCTGAGCTGGACATCATACTGTGATGTAGTATAATGTATGAAATGTCTTCCAGCTGGAACTACTCAAAACTCTATGAACTGAGTTATAACACTCACCCAAGAGTCTAGAAAAAACATAAAATCTCTTCACACAAACC